TCTATAATTTTTCTTGTTATCTGTTGCTTAGAAAATAACATGTAAGGAGTATTGTCTTCTGTTTGACTTTTGAATGTTTAGAGTAAACCCAGCATATGTGTGAAGCAGTCATTAAGAGTTAAGTATTTAAAAAATATGTGCAACTTGGCCATTTTGAGGCTGTTGGTCCTTCAGACAGGACTGGAGTGCATTTGCTTTGTTGTATGTGATGGACAGAAGCAGAGACATTGTATGCTGTGGAAAAGGGAAATTTATAAGGAGTATTAGGAAAATATTCACTTGGGAAATTTGGACAGTGGTACAATTGATCATTTAGGGTTGGCTTAGAGCTGTTATTGTTCCCTTAAAATTTAGCTCGAGCTCCTGTCTAAATTGGGAACTTTTTGTGTTGGCAGCTAAAATTATATATTTTCAAAGAAGTTTTTAAGTATCTACGAGCATCACAAAATTTTCACCAACAGGAATAGTACTGCCCCTGCTGTTACTGTCCTTCCATTATATGAAGCAAGCCAGATCCTCTCACTCCCACTCACTCTCATTTCTTTTTATTCCTTCCCTCCTATTTCCATTAATTAAAGAAATCTTCTAGTGACTATCATTATAACTTTGAAGAATATCTTTTTATCCCTATCCCTTGAATAACAGGTCTAAATAATGTCTTTATCTTCACACTGTGAAAAATCAGGAAATTAACAGATCTTCATTTTTCACCTTTTCTTTCCCATTTTGTGTTCCAGTGATTGCTTTATAGATTACTGGTTTGCATTGTTATGACTTGTGACGTTTGTATTCTTTTCTCAAATACAATGAAATCTCTTATAGGTTGATAATGTTTAAAAATCAATTTTTTTTTTCTGAAGAAAAAAATTTCTGAACCTTGCTTGTTCTGAAATGTTTTTATTTAGGTATCACTGTTGATTTTTAGTTTAGATGGTTTATAAACACCTAAAAAATCTGGTTTTATCCATTGGTCTTTTTTTTTTGCCTCTTTGTCACTTTTAAAATTGAAGTATATTTGATTTACAATATTTTTTTGGTTTCAGGTGTACAACATAGTGATTCAGTATTCTTATAGACTAGACTCCATTTAGATCATCATAAAATATGGGCTTATATTCCTTGGTTTACAACATAGCCTTGTAGCTTATTTATTTTCTACACAGTAGTTTGTACCTCTTAACTGCATGTATGTATAATCCTCTGCTCTACCCCTTCCTCTCCCCACTTCCCTTTTCCCACTGGCAGCTACTAATTGGTTTGTTCAGCAGTCAGTCTGTAAAGATATTATTCTACTGACTTCTAGCATCCAGTATTGATGATGAAAAGTCTGATGCCAGTCTGAATTTCTGTAGAAACCCTCTTTTCTCTCCGAAAATTCTTGCAGTTTTCTTTTTGCGATTGGCATTTACAGTGATTTCATAGGGCAGCCAGAATAAATGACCACACCTCAGAGCCTTAAAACAACAGAAGTGTATTGTCTCCCAGTTCAGTTCAGTTCAGTTCCTCAGTCGTGTCCGACTCTTTGCGACCCCGTGNCATGAAGTGATGGGACAAGATGCCATGATCTTAGTTTTCTGAATGTTGAGCTTTAAGCCAACATTTTCACTCTCCTCTTTCACTTTCATCAAGAGGCTTTTTAGTTCCTCTTCACTTTCTGCCATAAGGGTGGTGTCGTCTGCCAGTGCTGGCTAAAAGGTGGAAATCAAGGTGTCAACAGTGCCATGCTCTCTCTGAAGACTTTAGAGAAGGATCTGCTCATGCCTTTCTTGTAGCCTCTGGTGCCAGCTGGTAGCCCTTGGTGTTCCTGGCTTGGAAATGCGTAAATCTAGTCTCCCTCCATCTTCACTTGGTGTCTTGCTCTCTGTTTCTCTTCTCCCCTTCTTATGAGGACACAAGTTGTATTGGATTAGAGCCCACCCTAATCTGACATCAACTTAACTTGATTCCTCTGCAAAGACCCTATTTCCCAGTATGGTCACCTTTCCAAGTACTTGGGATTAGCACTTCAACACATATTTTTTGGCAGACAAAATTCAGCAGATAATAGCATTATACATGTTGATTAGAATATGAACAATATGCTTATTTAATCCTATTTAACACACACTGTAGACCCTTTCAGTTAAGACTTGCATTTTTTTTCAACTCAAAGTAATTAATTATCTTCTATATTTTCTTAATCATTTCTTCTCTTTCTGGAGCTTACATTTATTAGATATTTGACTTCCTGGATGATCCTCCCTATTTAATTTTCTCTCTGTTATAGTTTCCCTTGGGCTCATTTTTATGCACAATTTTATTTAATGGAGAAGGAAATGGCAACGTACTCCAGTATTCTTGTCTGGAGAATCCCATAGACCGAGGAGCCTGGTGGGCCACAGGCCAGGGAGTCGCAAAAGAGTCAGACACGACTGAGTGCCTAACACTCACACGTTTTATTTAAAATATGGTCTATTATAATACTTCATCTGTCATTATGAGTCTTCAAGTCTTTTCACATGAGTGAATTTTCTAGATAACAAATGCTTATTCCATTTAACACCACAGTAATTCTAGGTGTACTATTTTTTTTACAAAGTATTTCCATCTTTTCATCTTTTTTATATTGTCCCTTTGACTCTTTTATGCTTTGTATTGTGGAAGATCCATTGATTTTCCCAGTTATCAAAGTGTTAGTTAGTTGCTCCGTTGTGTCTGACTTTTTGCAACCTCATGGACTGTAGCATGCCAGGCTACTGTGTCCATGGAATTCTCCAGGCAAGAATATTGGAGTGGATAGCCATTCTATTCTCTAGGGGATCTTTCTAACCCAGGGATCAAACCTGGGTCTCCTGCACCACAGGCAGATTCTTTACCACCTGAGCCACCAGGGGGTCCTTATTCCTATCTTTTTCAGCCAACTTTGAAATTTCTTTTGTACAATCTGTGCAGTCGTTTTAATTTCCAAGATTGCTTTCTTATTTTTATTTTCTATGTTTTTGAATGTGGTGTGTGCTCACATTTTCTGAGGACAATAATTAGAATTATTTGAATGTTTTTGTGTGTGTGTGTGCTTCCCTGAATCATTTCTGTTTTCACTGAGGCTAGTTATTCTATTTGTTTTAATTAGTTTTTACTGGAGTGTTCTTGCTTTACAATGTTGTGTAAAATTTCTACCGTACAGCAGAGTGAATCAGCTGTACGTATGTAAATACCCTCTCTTTTTTGAATTTCCTTTCCATTTAGGTTACCAGAGAGCCCTGAGTAGAGTTCCCTGAGCTGTACAGTAGGTTCTCATTAGAGAGTCTGTTTTATTCCTAGAAGTGCATACGTGACAATCCCAGTCTCCCGATTCATCTCACTCCCTTTCCCCTTTGGAGTCTCTACGTTTGTTCTCTGCATCTGTGCCTCTCTTTCTGTTTTGCAAACAAGATCATCGGTACCATTTTCTAGATTCCACGTATACGCATTAATATGCGGTATTTGTTTTGCTCTTTTAAAAATACTCACTTATGTTTTGGCTGTTCTGGGTCTCGGCTGCTGCTCACCAGTTTTTCCTGGTTCTGGTGACTTCTCTTGCTGCAGTGCACAGGCTCCAGGCAAGCAGGCTCAGGAGTTGTGGCACATGGGCTCAGTTGCTCCGAGTCATGTGGAATCTCCCTGGACCAGGGATCAAACTGGTGTCCGCCACACTGCAAGGCAGACCCTTCCCACTCGACCATCAGGGAAGGCCCAGGGCCATTCTAAATGTTCTTGCTTTTCCCTGTGACTCGTGGTGGTGTGTCATAGTTATGAAGATCTATAGATGACCTGCATGGGCTCCCACTGCAGTTTTGAGAGTCTGTTTCTCTACTAGCTTTCTCATGTAAATGACAAGGCTTACCCTGAATTCTGGGTGAGGGAAGAATACAGGAGTGGGTAGCCATTCCCTTCTCCAGGGTATCTTCCTCACCCAGGGAACAGACCTGGGTGTCCTGCTTTATAGGCAGATTCTTTACCATCTGAACCACCAGGGAAGCCCCTCCAAAATGATACACAGGCTTTCTTGNGACCCCATGGACTGTAGCCCACCAGATTCCTCTGTTCATGGAATTCTCCATGCAAGCTTACTGGAGTGGGTAGCCACTCCCTTCTCCAGGGGATCTTCCCAACCCAGGGATTGAACCCAGGTCTCCTTTGTTGCACGGAGATTCTTTACCATCTGAGCCACCAGGGAAAACTATATGTCTATTAAAATATAAATTTCAGTGGATCTTGGAAAGAAGAATGTGCACTGTGTACTATTTTCCAATGCAGATTTTCTCATACTTTTCAATTTTTAAATTTCTTGTCTCAGATGTTTTACCATATGCAGTTTTGTGCATTTTGCATGTGTGTGCATACACATATACACAAGAATTATATTTATAAAATGGACTGGCAGGATCTTGTCCTATATTTTCTGTCTGCTTTTTAATTGTCCTCTGCATCTAGGAAGGTCCAAATATATATGATTGTTATACAGTATTTTTCCATATTTATGCTATATAAAGTACATTTTAAACATTAACCATCAAGAAATCAAATAAGTTTTTGAATGTTTAATGAGTCTATTTTAATCATTGGTCTTAAGAACTAAGACACTTTCAAGTTAAACACTTTTGTAGTTGTGTAAAATAATTTAATGGCAGAACTTGAAGGTCTGATAGTTTTTTAACCCTGTTTTATTGAGATATAATTGGCATTTAATATTGTCATTGATATATGTATATATTGTGAAATGATTACTACAATAAATTTAGTTAACAATCATCATCTCACAGTCATAATTTTTTTCTTATAATGGGAAAATTTAAGATCTTCTCTCAGGAACTTTCAAATATACGCTATAGTATGGCTAACTATAATCACCATGCTTTACATTGCATATCAGAATTTGTCTCATTTTTTTCTTTTGTATTTGTTCTATCTTAATTGTTTTGATACCATGCAAGTAACTTTGGTCAAATTAAGAGGAAAGTGTTTAAATCTTTCTTTTTCAGCAAAGAATCGCGGAATTGCCATTCCAGTGGATTTGGACAGCCAAGTGAATACTCTTTTCATGAAGAGTCACTCAAATATGGTGCAGAGAGCGGCCATGGGCTGGAGACTATCAGCTCGCTCTGGACCACGCTTTAAGGAAGCTCTTGGAGGGCCTTCTTGGGATTACAGAAATATTATTGAAAAGTTACAGGTACAATAAGAGCATGAAATGACATTAATATTTTCTAAATTATAATTTAAAATATGTGGCTACATAAATAAACTGATTAAAAATATCAAATTCTAGTTGGGGACCAGGCTTTGCTTTACAATGTCCAACCACCACTATCTTTTTTAAAACATTGCTTCCAGATAGAAGTTGTTGGGAGTCTTTTTCTTTTTTTCTTTTTGGGTAGGTATTATTTAATTGTTCTCACAGTAAGGTAATGGGTCTTAATATCAAAATAATAACTGTAATACATTTGGTGGAATAATTTACTATAAAGACCCATGTAATAAATATTTCACAACCTTGCTTCAGTTCATGTCTCAATATCCTTTTATATTTCTTTGATGAGAATGGTGTGAGCACCTTTACTCCCAAATTATTTGCATAGTATCCCACTCCTGTGTTTGGCCTGGACATTCTGGGACACTGAGTAAAGAGAGGCATTGTATTAATCTGCCCAGACTGCCATCATGAAATACCACAGACTGGGTGGTTTAACCGACAGAAGTTTCTTTCTCACAGTTCTGGAGCTAGAAATCCAAGATCAAGGTGTTGGCAGGTTTGTTTTCTTCTGAGGTCTCTCTCCTTGGCTTACAGGTGGCATGCTCATCACCGTGTCCTCATATGGTCTTCCCTCTCTGCACATACACTTCTCTGTCCTAATTGCTTCTTGTACGGACACCGGTCATTTTGAAGTAGAGTCCATCCATGTGAATTCACTTTACTTGAATTACCTCTGTAAAGGCCCTGACTCCAAATATAGTCACATTCTGAAGCGTCGGTGTGTATGTGCTGTGTGCTCACCCGCTCAGTCGTGTCTGTCTTTGCGGCCCCATGGGCTGTAGCCCTGCTAGGCTCCTCTGCACATGGAATTTCCCAGGCAAGAATACTGGAGTGGGTTACCATTCCCTTCTCCAGGGGATCTCCCTGACACAGGGATTGAACCCATTTCTCTTGCATCTCCTGCATTGTCAGGTGGATTTTTTTTTTAACCACTAATGTCATCTAGGAAGCCTCAAAGCACCAGGATTAGGGCTTTATCATATGAGTTTTGAGAGGGACAAAGTTTGGCCCATAGGAGATACCTTCCCACTCACATAATCAGTGAAAGATTTCATGGCACAAACTGGAGTATGGCTTGAGGAAAGTTTTTGGCATGGAGAATGATCAGAACGTGAACTGGAATAAATATTATAAGAGGTAATGAGTAGATTACTTGGTGAAGATTCAGAGTTTTAATAGATGAATGTAGTCGTCCCTGTTTGACACAACTAGAGAAAGCCCGTACACAGCAATGAAGACCCAGCACAGCCAAAAATAACTAACTAACTAAATAAAATTATAAAAAAAAATGAAGGCAGGGTCAGCAGACCTGGTAGTTCTCAGATGGAGATAGAGAGGGAGCATGAGGGACATTGAAGAGGCATGATGATTGGAAACTAGGTGACATTATAGACCCTGGACTGTCAGAAGGATGTTGGCTATGCTCATTGAACACACAGTGAATTAGATTTGTTGGCTACTGAAAGTATTGGAAGGTAGGTCTATATTTGGAGGTAATGGTTGGAATTGCTAAAAGAGAAAGTATAGTGATAGGAAAAACAAAGAACATGTGTTTAGGCTGCCAGAAGGTACAGAATGGCCAAATAAAATGAGGGAGAAAAGGCACAATCAGAACGGAGGCAAGCAGGTTCATGAGAGACAGAGGAGCAGACATTTCAGGGGAGAGACAGTCATGTCAATCAGCATAGAGAGGGCATGCTTTCAACTTATTTCAGCATAGTCAGTGGCATTCATTGGATAAATATATCTTTGATGAATACTCTGTACCGGCTACTGTGTTAAGTACTGGAGATAGAGCCATGAGGTCTGTGTCCTCATGGAAAATGCATTGTAACCCATTAAGTAAATGATATAATGTTAGATAATTAAAACTTCAATGAATAAATCATGATAACAGTATGATGGAGAGTCACTGGGAGATTGATTCTGTGGTGAGGGAGCGCTTCTCCATTGAGGAGACGTTGACATCCAAATGAGGAGCAAGAGTCTGTTCAAAGAGAGCTTTATGGGAAAGGAAGAGTAAATGCAACGATGCTTTGGCAGGAATGAGGTTGGGGATTTGAAAAACCAAGAGAAGCCCATTGGGGCAGATGTGAGCAAAGGAAGAGAGTCTCATGAAATAAGGAGCCAAATCATGTAGAGACTGTCATGCATGATAGTGTTCGGCTTTTTTCTAAATGTGATGGAAAATCATTGGGGATTTTTAGCAGAGAATAGGCATGACTTGGTTTACCTTTAAAAAAACAGTGAGTCTAGTTCATTAGCTATTGCATTAATTCAGGTAAAAGGTAATGGGGGCTTGGCTTAAGGGGGTAGTGATAGCAATGAAGATAATAAATTTTGGATATAGTTGGTCCTAGAGCCACTGGGGGTGAATGGATGGGTGAGTTGTGGGATGTTGGAAAGAGAAATCAAGGATGAGCCTTGGTATAATACGATTAGATCATTTGCTAAGGCAAGGAAGAACGGGAGAGTTGGAATCAAGAGATTCTATATGGAGAATCTTAAGACATGCCTATGTCAGTATCTGTATGGATATGTCAAACAGACTGATGGATGTATGAGTCTGGGGTGGTTTAGAAAGATATCAATGCAGGAAATATAAATGTGGGAATTTTCAGCATACATATGATGTCAAAACCATGCAGTTTCATGAGTTTCCTCACAAGAAACTTAGATATAGAAGAGAAAGGGCCAGGAATTTGGTAAAGGAGTAGTCAGGACATAGGTGGAAAATGAGGAAAAATCTGATATTACAGAACCAAGAGTAGAAAGTGTTTGATGAATCAGGAACGGTGTATAAAAAACTTAGGTAAGATGAGGACAGAATCACTGAATTTAGCAACATGATGATGATTGCAGCTAACTGGTATTCAGTGATTACTAACATTAAGGAGTGGCCAGTACATGTTAGAGGCTGTTTTTTCTTTTTCTTTTTTTTTTTTTTTTAGTTTTTTTAGCCATTTTAAAAATGAAATATAGTTAATTTGGAGGGTGGCTCAGACAGTAAAGAATCCGCCTGCAATGCAGGAGAACCGGTTTCCATTCCTGGGTCAGGAAGATCCCTTGGAGAAGGGAATGGCAACCCACCCCAGTATTCTTGCCTGAAGAGTTCCATGGACAGAGCGGTCTGTTGGGCTACAGTCCGTGGGGTCCCAAAGAGCTGGACATGACTAAGCAACTACTTCACATGGTTAATTTGCAGTGTTGTATTAGCTTCAGATGTACATCAGTGATCATTTTTCAGATTATTTTCCATTATAGGTTATTACAAAACATTGTAGAGGCTCTTGTATGTATTTACTTTTAATACTCACAGCAAGCCTATGTAATTGCTAGTATCATTATCCTGGGTTTTCACATTGGGGAAACAATGAATCAAAGAGATTATATGGTTGACCCATGATCGAAATAGGAGATGAAGACTCACATCATAGATGCCTGGATACAATTTGTTTAGAGAATAAAATTAAGCCTAGAGGTAATCTGAAAGAGAGGTGTGTTTTAGTGATGTTTTTTCTTAACTACGGTAACTGTGGTCACATTTGATAACCATATTCTCTTCCCACCTTTGTATAATATCTAGTTTCCGTTTATGTGATTTTTTTTTTTCCCTCCCTGGTAGTCTCTCTCAACTATTATGAGGAATTTCTCAGAAAACTTATTTAGTATTTGAAGGGGAAATGATCACTTTTTCTAAAAGGGAAGGAAAGAGTTAAACCAGAGTTAACTCCTGAAATCTAGTCATAAAAAATCAAGAGACTACCAGGAAGAAAATAACTTAAAAACATATGCTGAGAGTAACAATCAGCAATTGGCAGTCAGTTTTCTGCTTAATAGAATAAAGCCACAGTTATGGGCAAATAAACTATTGCTTTATGTGAGTGTTTTTTTTTTTCCCCAGTTTGTTTTCTTAGTTAATTTTAAAACAAAAACGGGAGGCTTTCATCATTAAATAATGCTCAGTAAATTATCATTGCTTATAGTTAATTTAAGAAGCATGTCAGTTGACTGCTTTCAGCTATAATTAACAGCTAAAAGTGGCTTAAATAATAAACAAAATATATCTTTTCACACGCAAGGAATCTGAAACTAGGGCTGTTCCTGAGGTGTTTAATTTGGTAGCTCCACTGGTCGGGGTTCCAACCACCGTTAGTCTGTTGACTTTCAGCTTAAGACTGGTCTTCGAAGGTCCTTTGAGGGCTGCCTTGTATTTTGAATTTTCACACTCTGAGGCTATCTTAGAAGCCATAGATAGTTTCTAAAGAATCTGCCCTGCCCACTCCCCAGCTCTATACACACCCTCACACTCAGAGACTTCACTTGATGTCTTATTGCCCAGGACTGTGTCACAGAATCACACCTAACCAGTTGTTGGCAGGGGAAATGGAATGACCATGACTGGCTTAAACCAATCAACCTTGACTCTTGGGGAGGCGGGCAGGGGCTTCTCTCCCTGATAGTGTTGTTCCCAGAGATTCTGTTAGCAAGGAAAAGGATGAGGAAAGGCTACTGGTAGATGATCAATAGCATCCATCAAAAAGTATAATTTGAAATACTACTAAATGTCATCGAACCCTTGGGTAGTACTAATACTGCTTCAGGCAACATATCAGGGAATTTCCCCCACTGGAAAAAAATGGTCAGTTCCAGGTGACCAGTGACACCCGTGAAGTCTTTTTTAGCTGTTCTCGGAGCATACTCTAATTTCAATTTGAGGAATACCTGCGCTGTCTGTAGGCTTCCCTGGTAGCTCAGTTGTAAAGAATCTGCCTGCAGTGCAGGAGACCCGGGTTTGATTCCTGGGTCTGGAAGATCTGCTGGAGAAGGGAACGGCTACTTATTCCAGTATTCTGGCCTGGAGAATTCTATGGACTGTTTAGTCCACAGGGTCGCAAGGAGTTGGACCTGACAGACACTTTCACTTTTGCACTATCTGTATTACAGTCCTAGACACTGTGGTGCTTGTAGCAGTGGCTTTACCGACTTTTCATCTTTCCTGTATATTCTTAGAAATCTATAGCTACCCACTCCTCCTTTATCATATAAATGATTAAGGAGATCCAGGAAGTATTCAGACAGAAAGCCAGCCTGTGCTTAAAGCACACACATCCAGTGCTTTGGGAAGTAGGGTACCTCTCCTCTGAAAGTCCCATACCTCATTCCTGGTTAGTATTCATAAGCTTGTCATATTTTTAAAGGATGAAATCTGAGTCAGGTCTTCACATGTCTTCTCTTGTGTTTATTCCTTAGGATGTAGTGGCCTCCTTGGAGCAACAATTCAGCCCGATGATGCAGGCTGAATTCTCAGTGTTGGTGGATGTGTTGTACAGCCCAGAACTGCTGTTTCCTGAGGGAAGCGATGCGAGAATAAGATGTGGTGCTTTCATGTCGAAGTAAGTGGTCCAGCCAAGATGCTGCAGGTGCTGCGGCAGAGCCTACCTCTGACACCCCTGCTTTCTGACCCTGCTGGTGCCTGATGAACGTCCACAGAGCATGGGAAGCGTCTAAAATCCCTGCAAACATACTTCCAAAATCATTAGTATGATTCAATGGAAAGTTTGTTTTGGTGATTTTCAGGTTATCATATTTATTAACATTTACTTAAAATGAAATGTATCATTGGGCACAAAATATCACATAAAAGAATATCTTGGTTCTGAGTCCTTTCTATAGCTATATGGTGTGAACTTTTAAAAGATTTCAGTTTAAGGTCACTGATTTTCCTTAAGAGAAAGAGGAAGGAAAGGGAACTAGCATTTATTGAAGTCTTACTCTGTGGGCTATTGTCCTGTGTGTGCTTACCCACGTTATCTAAACTGCACAAATGCTCTGAGAGATTGGGCCTCATTTTAGAGGTGAGAAAACTGAGGCCCAGGTGTTAAGTCTCAACCCGGCACTCAGCCATGCTGCCTTGATAAGGCTCATCTAAAGCTCATTCATTTATGTATTTCTCTTAGCATTTTTGTGGTATTGTCAGGTCTTTTGCAGTGGATGTGTTTATCCTAGAATATTTTCATTTTAATGGTAAAGGAGCAGTTCTCAAGGCAATATAAGCAGTTGTGAGAGAAAGTTTTAGGTAGCTCCAGAAAGATGCGTCTTAATGTTGAGGACCCTTCACTGAATAATTTGTGCAAGTAATCACATGTTGACTCAAGATGGCAAGGCAGAGGCACATGGTCTCCTTGGGGAGAGAATCTGGATAAAGGGTCAAAAGAAGCTGCAACCCCCTTCACCATTATTTGTCACAGCCTCTTCTGTATGGTTGAGAGTATGGCTGAAATGGTCTCAAAGCCTCCACTATTGACTGTGACATAGTGAGGCAGAAATTGAAGGATGACGGGACACAGGAAGTGTGTTTCTTTCTTTTACCAGTTAAAGTTGGAATTTGGGGAGAGAAAACGAGGTATGGAGTGAGAAGAAGCGACTACAGGGGTCATGTTGAAGAGCAGGTGGAGTTTCTACATTATGGCCAGAATCAGGAATTCTTAACTCTTGATCATTGTATCTTAAGAAGCCTGGAAAGAATGGGCTTGTCTGGGCACTAACCAGCCTTCTTACAAGCATTTTTAAATGAAGAGGTCTAGAGTGTCTGTAAAACGGCTGACTGTGGAAGCCACTGGAAAAAGAAAAGTATCGAGATGTTGTCTAGTATAAAAATAGGGTCTTTGACAAATATACTTTATCTCCTATGAATATATATCAATGTGTATATAACATAGGTTAAAAAGTAGGCAATAAACCTGAGAATTTTATCCCCAGGATATTCATATGATGCTCTAGCTATATCCCAGAGCCTTGATGGTCTAAACGAGTGATTGGCAAACTCTGGCCCACAGGCCATTGATAATTTTTGCAACTAAAGTTTTATTGAAACACAACCACACACATTCATTTACGTGTTGTCATCAGAGACTACTTTCATACTGTTACAGCAGAACTGACTAGTGGCCTAGTCTGCATGGCCTCCAGAACCTAAGCTATTTATGATTTTGCCCTTCAGAAAAAGAGTTTGCTGATTCAGTGTCAAGAATTAGTGTCAATATGATAACTATACATGGCTATTAATATGAAAGTTTAAATTCATTACAACACAGATAAAATACTTAGTCTCTCAGTCGACATTTGCCACATGTTAAGTACTCAGTAGCCCTAGGTAGCTACTGGCCAACAACTAAGACAGCACAGTTATAAAACATTTCAACGATCTCAAATAAAATTCTTGTCTAGAACTTAAGGATATAGGTGTGTGAGAAGGTGATGTTAAGTAACTCAAAATGTCAAGAAAATATTGACCTGTGCTGAAGATGAAACAAGTCAGTTGCAATATTAGGTAAATTCAAAGGAGAGAAGCAGAGTGACATGATAGTGAGAATGTATCGCAGGTCCTACATTCAGGTGGAGGAAGAAAAAGTCACACATAGTTTAGTGGTTAGAGAAAGGATTTTTATGCAGTTGTATGGGAGTGATTGTAGCATGGCTTGAGGCTCGGGGATATCTGTTTACTTCTTCCATAATTCTGGGAAGAGCCAAGAGTTTTATTTGCAAGGGTATCTATTACAATAAAATTAGAATCCAACATCGTTAATTGCTGTAGGTCTTAAGTGGGGCTTCTGACATCCTCAGATGAATTGAATTATTGGGACTTGTTGAGTCAGATGGGTCTGCTGGAGCATGTCAGGGCTAACCCCCAGGAAAGGACCAGATTTCACATTAGTCACATGCAGTGAGAGAGAAGAGAATAGGTCATTGTGAGTATTGGCTTTTATGGTGGTTGCGTGTAGTTCATTCATATCCACACTTACTCCTCCCTTATGAAGGAGAAGCTTAATGTTTCCCATATTATGGGATGTAACTTACGAAGAGGAAACCATTGATTTGTAAAAAAGAATTGGGAAAAAATATAAAATATCAGCATGCATCTCATATAGTAAAAGTAACTTTTTGCGATCATTGTATAAATACACTCACATTCATGTATTTGTATGATGAATTGTTTTGTGAAACTTACTCTTTACTTAGATACAGAAAAAATTTGAAAGCCAAATGATCTAATTCAACCAAACATTATTTGATAGATGAACACTTTGTATAAATCCCAAGCAAGTGTTCATTTTTTCCCACCAATATTTTCAAATGGTTAGTGAATTAAATATTTTATCTAAAGAAGAGTTAAAGAAAATAGAAATAGCCTGAGAGAAAAATGTCAAAAGAAATTTACAGTGTCCACCAAATGATTTTCATGAGCTTCCCTGGTAGCTCAGCTGGTAAAGAATCCGCCTGCAATGTAGGAGACCCTGGTTCGATTCCTGGGTCGGGAGGATCCCCTGGAAAACAGATAGGCTACCCACTCCAGTATTCTTGGGCTTCCTTGGTGGCTCAGATGGTAAAGAATTTGCCCACAATGCAGGCAGGATACCTGAGTTGGATCCCTGGTTCGGGAAGATCCCCCGGAGGAGGACATGGCAACCCATTCCAGTATTCTTGCCTGGAGAATCCCCATGGACAGAGGATCCTGCCAGGCTACAGTCTATGTGGTCATAAAGAGCCGGACATGACTGAGCAGCTAAGGACAGCACAGTCTGTAAAAAAAAAAGACCGAATAACTGTCTTCCGGAGAGGCAGGTTTTTGTTTCTTGCCAGGAGAACTTTCGACCAATAAATGTGCCTGACCACATGGACATATAGCGCCCTGTCCAGATGTAACATGTCTAAGAGGAAATCACTAGTCCTTCCCAACATGAAATAGGTGTCATTTAAAACTATCATTGCCCATCTACTAACCCGACTCATACATTTCAGGCATCTGTGATCTCCCTTTCTTCTGTTTTTCCACTTCCTGTATGCCATTGTTTGCCAGGTCATGGCTATTTTATTTCTGTATTGCTTCTTAGGCCCTTTCCCCATCATGTGCCCTGTTCATCTCTTACTGTTCTCACGCTTCCATGCCCTTGTTCCCACTGCCATCTTTTTAACAGGTAGGCAGGATCATACAGCTCCTTTAACACAGTGGTTCTCTATTTTCTATAAATTCCAGACTCTTTGGCATAATATTCCCAGTTCTTTCTTTTCAGACTGCGCTTTTTACACTCTCCTTTTCCATGTCTTTAACTGTCAGCTGGTAGTTAGAGTATACTTATTTCCTGGACATGACATCAGCTTTTCTGTGTCGGCCCTTGTTTTCATTCCCTTTGAAATAACTTCTCTCCACTGTTTCCTGCCAGGTGAAATCTTCATAGTTAAATGTTACATGGTTTCTGAAACCTTCTCCGGTCAGTGCTAGGCAGCTCCCCAACAAAATGTAATGGCTTCTTTGTCCAATTTATGGCTTTTGCCTTTCTCTCTGCTCTAACTTCCTGTAAGACACAGCTGTGTATAATTTAGGACTCCCTTCATCAGTGAAGGGATGTCCTGTCTCCACGGAGTGGTACTTCAAAATTTTGACTCTGAAGTCAGCTTCAGCTCAGTTCAGTTCAGTCACTCAGTCATGTCCGACTCCTTGCGAACCCATGGACTGCAGCACGCCAGGCTTCCCTGCCCATCACCAACTCCGGAGCTTACACAAACTCATGTCCATCGAGTCAGTGATTCCATCCAACCATCTCATCCTCTGTTGTCCCCTTCTCCTCCTGCCTTCAATCTTTCCCAGCATTGGGGTCTTTTCCAATGAGTCAGTTCTTTGCATCAGGTGGCCAAAGTATTGGTGTTTCAGCTTTAGCATCAGTCCTTCCAATGAATATTCAGGACTGATTTCCTTTAGGATGGACTGGTTTGACCTCCTTGCAGTCCAAGGGACTCTCAAAAGTCTTCTCCAACACCACAGTTCAAATTCATCAATTCTTTGGTGCTCAGCTTTCTTTATAGTCCAGCTCTCACATCCATACATGACTACTGGAAGTCAGATAGACTTGGTCTATTTCCAGACCCCACAACTTAACAATTGTGTAACCAGAGGCAAGTTGCTTTACCTCTTTGTGTCTCTGTTTTCTCATTAGCAAAATTAGCCTGTTAATAGAACCTAACATATGACTTTGGCTTGCTGTGAGGATAAGTGGAGAAAATTCATGGAAAATGCTCATACCTCACGCTGATACTTAATAAGCCCTGACTAGCCGCTACCTAGTGAAAGCTCACTTTTCCTTGGGGCTCTGTCCCACAGGATTCCCGTTATGTCACTGAAATCAGATCATCCCATTATATTCTACATGGTTTTGTTTTCTTCTAGGAGGACATATCTCATGGGGTTGTTTTGAGAACCAGCTTTTTAACAACATGAGTTGTATGTGCTAAGCTGTAAATTCTGATTCTCAGCATCTTATTCAATTCTGAGTTCTTAGAGATGTTATATAACTGTGACCTCAAATATTTCTCTTGACAGAACTCCGCTGCAGAGGTCACCACTGTAAAATTAATTAGAATCTTTGCCCAAATTATAGCAAAAATAGTAAATGGATAGACTATCTTGAATTTACTTTTTTTTTTTTTTGCTTCTAATCATGAAAGCTGCCAATTTCTACCAAGCCCTAGCAGTGAAAAATAGCAGTTATTATTAATGGAAACTGGAAAGCATCCCATTAATGCTAAGGTTCCAATGTTGTATGCTGCTATTATATAGTTAACATGATATACTACATGGAAAATAATATAGTATGGCACAATATAATAAAGTGTACTATATTGCAAATATTCATATTTCTTTCCTAATAAACTTGTTTTAGTTCACATGATAGACTTGAAGATAATCATTGTTTCATTGGTCTTTTTACAGTATTGTATCCCACTAAAAGTATGTTACCTGAATAAACTTGAGAAGCACTGGGGTATACTGACTATAAAGCAGAAGTTTTATAATACCAAGTTTATAAGCTGGAGTATAATTTTAAAACTTTGATGACGTGTATCTAGTTTACTTTATACTCTAAAATAATGGTGTGATTATTTTTTCCCTCTGGTATATGATGCTATTATATTAGCTTAAAGAGAAATTACTGTCCTATTAAGGCTTAATGTTTTGTTTTAAGGTTGATTAACCATACAAAGAAACTGATGGAAAAAGAAGAAAAATTGTGCATTAAAATTCTTCAGACTTTACGAGAAATGCTAGAGAAGAAAGACAGCTTTGTGGAAGAGGTATTTAAAATTTCTTCTTGCTATTTGAAAATAAAATAGAACTTCTAGAATACTATAATGAATAAATTACAATAGGCTATTATTATATGATTGTTTGTATTACATATTAATAGTGTATATACTTAGATGAATTAGATAATTTGAGTTTTTATGTTATTCATCTCTTAATGCTTACTTTTGATTTGAGAAGTAACTAAGATTAGAATGGCCCAAGTATTTGGTTTATTTGTTGTTATTATATTTTGTCATGAATATGTATACTTTTCTCATATAGTGTTAATGGACCAAATGATCTCTTTTAAGTGTTATTAAGGTTTTGTACAAAGTTCTGCTGTGAATTTGAATGGTCCGTGCATTTTGGAATATGTTGATTTTTCATTGTACATATATGTTCATGTCATTTTCTATAATATTATGCCCAGTATTATAAAATAATACTTTTTTAAATAAATGGAACTGTAAGTTTCTATTCTTAACTATGCTAAATGTTGCACAGATGATTTTCAGGGAATATCAACTTATAGATAATAATTGTCAGTCTGTTATTAAAAATGACAGCTCAGGTGCTCATTAAGAGATGGCTGGCAGCATGTTTAATACCCAAGGTGATACACTTAAATATAAAATATAAATCTAATGTAGGATTGTTTTAGCTAGCTACCTTTACTGTTTACTTTCAGGTATCAAACATAATTTGTAACATGCTCCTTAATAATTTTTTGTTCTGTTTCTGTAAATATTAATTATCTGGTATGTTTAAAAATGGAAAGATTTTATTTTTATTTATGTATATGCTATCTAATTCCAAAAAGATTGTAGTGGTAGATTTTTTCTTAACATATTTTGGTAGAAAAGAATTGCAGTGGAATCTTGGATATTAATAGAAGGGGAGATAGCTTCAAAATACAACATTTGAATCAGTTGTTTGCTTTAGTAGTCAAAATGACTTCTGCATTGCATTAGTTCTCATCATCCTTTATATTTGGAAAACATTAATAAAATACAGGTGGTCAATACAGTTTTAATAAATGTTGCTGTAGCATAGGACTCAAGAAATATGCTTATAAGTTTGAGTATATGGTATGTTCTTAAAAACGGTATATAGAGTTCCTTGGGACTTTTTATTTCTTTCTCCTTTGGTTCTTGAAACTATTGCTGTAAATTGTTTGATATTGGCTGAAGTATCAGATCCTAAGGTAGAAAAAATGAGGTCATATGAATTTTTTACAGACTAGTGAAGTTTATTATAACAGTTAGTTGTGCTTAATGGAAGATATGTGATAAGCCTTCAATTTTATATAATAGATGATTATTGAATTACTATAAAGGAAACTAGGAAAGAAATCAGGCAAGATTTTACTGTGACTAGTCAGGAGAATTTCAGCACATCTCCCAGACCACTGTAAAATCATTCATGCTGCTATCTGGGTCTCCTTTACACTCCTAGGGCCACGACTAACTAGTTCAGGGTTTCATCTTCTCTTGTCTAGAAAACACCAGTGCCCAGTTCCCTGAGACCTCTTTGAAGGGAGGCAGGGCTGCTGTTTTCAGAGCTCCAGGACACCTTTCCCATCAAGTATGATGTGAATGGCGCCCCAGGACACGGTCCTCAGGGAAGGGGTCAGCTGAGGTTCTTTAGGCTCATTCACTCAGGCAGCTCACACGCATTGTGAGCAACTGTTAAGTGCCGGCCCTAGTGTCTGGACACTGGGGAGATGGAGACCAATGGCCCAGCTTACTAACGGCCACCACGGAGTGCATTTCACATGCATCTGGGGGCCTGTCAGTGTCTGCGGAGATCTCGAGGCCCTTTCAGGAAACTTCAGGGGCTCTGCGCTGCCTGGGTGTTACGGGACCCCCTCTGCCTTTCCCCCACCCTTCCTCATCCTTTAGCCTCCAGAAGCCTGTCTTACTAGAGGGGCCTGCAGTGTCCTCAGGCTTTTTCAGCACTGAGCCTTCCCGGTATGGACCTGGGATTGTTAAAACACAAAGAAGCCTCAATACCCCCAGTGTTATCTTTGTGAAGGAGCTAATGAGGAATGCTTATCAACTGTTTTTGCCACAAGTGATACTTTCTCAATAGAATTAGCAAAATACTATGTGCTTCTCTTTTCTAAATTAATTTATTTTTTATTGAAGGATAATTGCTTTAAGAACTTTGTTGTTTTCTGTAAAACCTCAACATGAATCAGCCAGAGGCATACATACGTCCCCTCCCCTCTGAACCTCCCTCCCATCTCCCTCCGCATCCCACCCCTCTAGGTTGACACAGGGCCCCTGTTTGAATTTCCTGAGCCAGACAGCAAATTCCCCTTGGCTATCTATTTTACATATGCTAATGTAAGTTTCCTTGTTACTCTTTCCATTCATCTCACCCTCTCGTCCCCTCTCTGCATGTCCATAAGTCTATTCTCTATGTCTGTTTCTCCATTGTTGCCTTGTAAATAAATTCTTCAGTACCATTTTTCTAGATTCTGTATATATGCATTAGAATATGATATTTATCTTTCTCTTTCTGACTTACTTCACTCTGTATAATAGGTTCTAGGTTCATCCACCTCATTAGAACTGACTCAAATGCATTTCTTTTTATGGCTGAGTAATATGTGTATATGTGTAAATGTACCACAACTTCTTTATCCATTCATCTGTCAGTGGACATCTAGGTTGCTTCCATAGTGCCTCTCTTTGTATCTGGGTATTTAGATTGTAAATAGCTGGGTATTTAGTATCCTTTAGTATCCATTATTATCCATTGTATCTGGGTATTTAGTCCAAGCTCATTGGTTTATAGATGCTGTCACTGAGACCCAAAGGGGTAGTGTGATTTACCCAAGGTCACACACCAGGGCCAAAACCAGAACCAGCCAAAACCGGGCTCCTTCCTCTCTGCCTAATCTTATTTATCAGATCACAGACAACTTTTACAAATGATGTATATCACTATTAAGAAAGATTAGTATATTTTGTCCAACATGTTTGAGGGGCTGGATTTTAAGTCATAAGCAGACAAAATATAGTAGAATGTAATATCCAAAATAGATAAAAGTTTAGTTTAGAAACCTAGAATTAAACATTAAGGAATATGGAAATTAACTTAGAAAGAAAAACCTAAAAGAGACTTATATAAATATCACTTCTTAATTTCTGTGTCTGTTAAAGATAGAATAGAAAACTGTAGCTGAAAGAATTCTAGATCTTAGTCAGAATTTTAATTCTAAATGTTGTAGAGTGAGAAGCATTTCTACTAGTGGAAGGAGAAGACTTTTCTCCCTATATGAAATTTTTAGAAAGCATATTGGATCTAGAATGATTCAAATACCTCTGCTGGGAAAGAGCAATGGACAATCTCTACATGTTGTCAGTTGGCCCATGTTACATGGCTGGTGCTCCCTTTTCTGTGCCAGTGGAGAGGACCTACCTAAAGGGCCCACCAGTCTGGATGAAATGGCCTTGGGTAACAGATTCAGAAGCTGGTCAAAGCCATTATTTTACAACTTACTATGTATTTTCAGAAAAAAATCCTGATTATTTGTCCTGGAATAACGGGTGGTTGTGTTTTGTTACTGTGTTAGTTTCCTGTTTGTTATTGCTGTTCAGTCAAAGTCGTGTCCGACTCTGCAACCCCATTAACTGTAGCACGCCTGGCTTCCCTGTCCATCACTGTCTGCTGGAGTTGGCTCAAATTCATGTTCACTGAGTCAGTGATTCCATCCAACCATCTCATCCTCTGTTGTCCCCTTCTTTCATCCTCAGTCTTTCCCAGTATCAAGGTCTTTTCCAGTGAGTCAGCTCTTCACATCGGATGACTGAAGTGTTGGAGCTTCAGCATCAGTCCTTCCGATGAATATTCTGGGTTGATTTCCTTTAGGATTGGCTGGTTTGATCTTTTTGCTGTCCAAGGGACTATCAAGAGTCTTCTCAATCACCACAGCTTGAAAGCATCAATTCTTCGCTGCTCAATCTTGTTTATGGTCCAACTCTCACATCCCTACATGACTACTAGAAAAGCCATAGTTTTGACTATATGGACTTTTGTTGGCAAGGTGATGTCCCTGCTTTTTCATATACTGTCTAGGTTTGTCATAGCTTTTTTCCAAGGAGCAAACATCTTTTAATTTCATGGCTGCAGTCACTGTCCGCAGTGGTTTGTAGCCCAAGAAAGTAAAATCTGTCACTGTTTCCACTTTTTCCCCTTCTATTGCCATGAAGTGATGGGACCAGATGCCACGATCTTTGTTTTTTGAATGTTGAGTTTTAAGCCAGCTTTTCACTCTCCTCTTTCATCCTTATTTATCAAGTGGCTCATTAGTTTACAACCCACATGTTTATTATCTTACAGTTTTGGAGGTTGAGGTTTAACATCAAAATGTCAGTTGAATTCTTTTTGGAGGCTCCAGGAAACAATTCATTTTATTTGCCTTTTTTAGCTTCTAGGGGCCTCCTGCACTCCTTGGCTCATGGATTCTCCTTCTATCTTCAAAGCCAGCATCTGTAGTGTCTTCAACACCCTCCCCCCTGACCCACCAGCCTTATTTGTCTCTCTCTCTCTCTCTCTCTCTCTCACACACACACACACACACACACACACACGCACAGACATATACACAGAGAAAGACTCCATTGTTATATCCCCCACTTTTATTCTTGCCCTCCTGCCTTCCTCTTATAAGGACACTGTGATTACATTGGAACCAGGTAGATAATCCTGTATAATCTTCCCATCACAAGATCCTTAACTTATTCACACCTGCAAAATTCCTTTACCAAGTAAGGTGACAGTCCCAGGTTTCTGTTGCTAGGGCATAGACATCTTTGGGAGGGCCATTACCCAATCTCTCACAATGAATTTTTTACTGGAGAGCTTACCTATGGCTGATTGAAATGTAGGGCAGCTTAAATGTGAATGAACATGACAAAAATTGGTTTGAATTTGTAGCATTTTGCTGTTTTCAAAGCACTGTAAAATATTTTGCTACCTTTCAGCAGCTCTAGGACGT